CCCTTCCATGAAACAAGGGTGCATACTCCTGAAGTAGATCTCCTGTCATCAAGGCATCTTGCCCAATTTGCATCTGTATAAGCTTCTAGTTTCAACTGTCCATGATCAGCAAACAATATGCCCCTGCTCGGGTATCCCTTCAGATAAGCAAGAATCCTGTCAATAGCCTCCCAATGCTGGACTCGTGGAGCATGCATGTATTGACTTATCAGACTTACTGCATAGGAACTGTCTGGTCTTGTCATACACAAGTATAGTAGCCGCCCCACAAGTCTCTGATATCTCCCAATGTCCTTTACTGGCCCACCTTCTTATACATTAATTCTGTGATTTTGATCAATAGGAGTACCGATTGCCTTTGTTCCAAGCTTCCCTATTTCTTGAAGAAGATCCAAGACATACTTCCTCTGAGAGATAAAAATTCCATGTTTTGATCTTGCAACTTCAATGCTTAAGAAGTATCTAAGTTCTCCAAGATCCTTAATTTCAAATTCTTTGTGTAGATTCTTCTTCAAACAATCAATCTCACTTAGGTCATTCCCTGTGACAACAATATCATCCACATAAACAATTAGGGCTGACACCCAAAGATCCCCTTCACTTCACAAACAAGGTATGATTGCATTGAGTCTGAGTGTAGCCAAAAGCAACCAAGTCCTTCCTGAACCTGTCAAACCATGCTTTGGGAGATTGTTTCAAGCCATAAAGTGACTTCTTAAGCTTGCATACCTTTCCCTTTTCAGCATCACTGTAGAAGCCAGCAGGAAGATCCATATACACTTCCTCTTGCATATCCTCATTTAGGAAAGCATTCTTCACATCAAGTTGAAACAAGGGCCAAGAGTATGTGGCAGTAAGAGAAAAAAGTATTCGAACAGAGGTCATCTTTGCAACTGGTGGAAAGCTCGCTAAGTAATCAATGCTATAGGTCTGTGTGTACCCTTTTGCAACAAGTCTGGCCTTGTACCTTTCTATACTTCCATCTGCCTTATATTTCACTGTGTAAATCCATCTGCATCCAACAGTCTCCTTGCCCTTTGGTAGGTCCACAATTTCCCATGTCTGATTCTTAATTAAAGTTTTCACCTCTTCCTACATAGTTGCCTTCCACTCAGGTCCGGAGAGAACCTCACTGACACCCTTGGGTATAGACACAGAGTCAAGAGAGGAAAGAAAAGCACGATAGGAAGGAGAAAGTCCACTATAGGATAAGTACTATGAAATAAAATGAGCAGTACACTTTCTCTTCCCTTTTCTAAGGGCAATAGGAAGGTCCAAGTTATCTGTAACAGGATTAATAGAATCAATGGGAACTGAAACAATAGAGGGATCAAGAGGAATACCTGAATCCGTGTCAGCTGAATCTGGAGTCCCCAAGGAACCGACAGGAAGTGATGTGAGTTCTGCTGCAGTGGAATCAACCTCCCTGTGAAGTCTCTGTCGTGAGTAACGCTGAGAAGCAGGACGCAAGGGAGGTGGTAAGGTAGGTGACACAAGAGGATCAAACACAGGAGTGGATACAGGGACTGGAGCTGGGAGAGGGTCACTCACTTCCCCAAAACACTCCCCCTGAGAAGGATTCTTCGAGAAGAAGTATGTGAACTCAAAAAAAGTGACATCCATAGTAACATATCGACTCCCAAAGACTGGATCATAGCAACAGTACCCTTTCTGATTTTCTACATATCCAAGGAAGACACACTTCTTTGCCTTCAGGTCAAACTTCAAGCGGTGAGGACCAAGGATATGTGCAAAGCAGACACACCCAAACACCCTGAGAGGAATATGAAACATCTTCCCCTCAGGAAAAAGAAGATTGAATGGGGTGTTGAATCCAAGTATACGAGAGGGCACCCTGTTAATCAAATATACTATTGCGAGAACTGCATCACCCCAAAACCAAATTGGAACTTTAGATGTGATCGTCATGCTCCTTGCAATCTCAACAATGTGTCTGTTCTTCCTTTCTGCAACACCATTCTACTATGGAATGTAGGAACAACTGCTTTGATGGACAACACCATATTCTAATAGATATGAAGCAAGGTGTTTTTCAAAATATTCCATGGTATTGTCTGATCTGAACACCTTTATTCGTATTCCAAACTGTGTTAGCACCATCTGATGAAATTGCTTTACCAAGGATGGTACCTCATCTCGGGATCTCTTCAAGTAAACCCAAGAATATCGAGAGAAACCATCCACAAATAAGAGAAAATATCAATAACCACCCATAGAAGGAACATGATAAGGTCCTCACACATCAGAATGAACAACATCAAAAGAACACATTTTATTACTAGCTTTAAAGGAATGGCTACAATGCTTTCCAAGTTGACAACATTCACACTCCGGGCTTGACAAACTAACAGACTCAAATAGCTTTGGAAACAAAAGACTCAAAGAAGAAAAAGGCAAATGACCCAAATGATTATGCCAAAGCATAATTTGACCCACAGACCCTAACTCACTATCCCTGCTAGCATGATGACTCTAACGAGGAGGAAGAACATCCAGGAGGTAGATTCCATTCACTTCACAACCATTCCCAATCGTCCTCTTTGAATCCAAATCCTGCAAGATACAATGACCAAGAGAAAAAATTACTGAACAGTTCAGGTTCTTAATCAAACTACTAACAGATAACAAATTAGTGTTCAATCTGGGAACATGAAGGACAGAGGGAAGGGAAATGGAATCACTAATCTTGATAGACCCCTTCCCAGCAATGGAAACATGAGATCCATCAACTGTGGAGACCCTGTCTCTACCAGAACAGAGCTGGTAAGAGGAAAAAATGGTGGAGGTATGGGTCATGTGCTCTAAGGCTCCAGAATCTGTAACCCAAGGAGGTCCCTCCTTACCTAAAATAGAAACATAATTTGTAGTGGCATGTGAACTACCTACGTGAGCGAAGTAAGTAGAATGAACTCCACCAGAACCACCTGTACCTTGTTGTCCGCCTATTGTTGAACTAGAACTGGTTGTATTCCACTGGTTCAAAAACTGTTGATACCTCTCAAGTTCGGCCCTTACTACAGCAGTTGCAACAAACTCCAGAGCAGCTATAGTAGGAGGGGCCGGAATGTCACCAGTGACTGCCATGTGAGCATTTCCCTTCTTATTTTTGAGTTTATTCGGCACTAGATGTGGATGAAGCTTCTAGCAAGTATCTCTTGTGTGTTTAAACTTCTTACAGTAGTCATAGATCAAATCTTTTTTGTCTTTCATCTTGATTTCACTGCCACCCCGGTGTCCACCTTGTTTAGGTCTCACAGTGCTAACCATGGCTGACTAATCAAACCCAGAATTTTTCATCATCACATTTCTCCTACTCTCCTCCCCTGACACAAAGGCATATGCCTGGGAGAGGGTAACACCGTCCCTGGAAAGAATGTGTTGTCTTGCAATATCATACTCGGGATTAATTAAGGCCAACAAGAAATTCAAACACCCTATACTTCTCTAGGTGTTTCTGGTAGGTAGCTGCATCCTTAGTGGTTTCCAAGCAAGTGTCTCTAAATGGTCAATCTCCTACCACAGGGTTTTAAGGGCTCAAAAGTAAACTGCAATAGGTCTATTTCCCTGCCTTGTAGCAATAATCTGATTTCTCAATTGATAAGTCCTAGCAACATTCTCCCTCTGTTAATAGGTTTCTGCAACCCCATCCCATATTTCCTTAGTTGTATTTGCCCATAAAAAGTTTTTACTTATATGGAGCAGCATGGAATTACATAGCCAAGTCATCACCATATAGTTCTCCTGTACCCATCGGGAGCTGTTAGTTTCGGGTTTCACTTCTTCACCAGTGATATACCCTAACTTCCCACGAGCACCAATGGCCATCTTTGTAGATTGTGACCATTCTAAGTAATTCGAACCATTCAACTTAACTGTAGTAATGGTCCCAGCCCCGAAAAGGTCTCCAACACCTCCTCCCGTTGGTCCAATTTCACTCCTAGGCTTGTTTTCAACTCCGTGACCTTCCATACTTCTCAAAAGTTGTAAAGAAAATTATTGTAATATGCAAAAAGATCAAACGAAACACTTTTGGAACCAACGACACCTTTTTGGTGCCCTAGATGGTCCTTCCATAAAAGACTCCTTTTTTGCGGGACGGGAGAAGAGAGAGAAGAGGCAGCCGCTCTCTCCAGAAACCTCCAAATCAGGCAGGACTTGAACCGCCCCTACAGAAAACTCCAAGGAACCCTAAAAAATTAAAGTGCCACTTCCTAGGTCAAAATTGAAGAGTCCAACAGAAACAGGACACTCCCCCTTTCTCCAGTTTTTCCTGATTTTGATGAGAAACCCTAAACCAGCTATAGGGCAAAACAAATTCACCAAAAAATCCAAAAACTGGGCTTACCTAAGATCTTTGATCAGCCTCTTAAATCACCAAGCAGTCAGTCGATCTAGGGTTGCATGAGAAAACAGCTCAAGGAACCTTCGGCCTTGCTCTAATACCAAGTAGAAATCACTGTTTGTAAATCAGGATGAATTCCTTGTGAAGAGAAGAAAATGAAGAGTTTTAGCAATAGAGAAGAAAAGAGAGGAAAGAAAGAGTATGATGTTAACCAGAATTGAATTAGTTCTGGCCGCCAACCTCTCATTATATTTTATACTAAACTTAAAAGAATGAAAGGTTACAAGAATGCCCTTAGTAGGACAGCTACTAAAGTAGCTGAACAATCACAACTTAAAAAACATAAGCTAATGGGCCTAAAGCCCAGCAACTTCCTAACTTAACAACTTAAAATAAGAACAAAACAACTGGGCCCAATAACTAGAAATCGGTCCAACTCGACACTTTTATCCATGTCAATAAAAAATGAGGTTACCAATAAAAAAATGCCTTTTCATATATAGAAGACCCAAGACCTTGCTATCATCTGGACAAGGTATTAAGGCCATTAGCCAGTTATAGGAAGTTAATAGGATGCTCTACCGACCACCCTCATTAGGAAAGAAACAAAAGGCATGGGATGGGGAAGCAAATTAACCTTGATATGACCATCATGTGCAATCAACAGATTATCAGGCTTCAAATCACGATGAACCACACGTAATGAATGTAAATATTCCAAAGCAAGCACCTGCAAAATAATTACTTTCAAAAGCTAAAAAGCAGCACTGGAATATAAGCTGCAACAAAAAGCAAAAGACAAATAGATCCTGAAAGGGTGAATTTCAACTTACAACTTCAGCTATATATATCCGAGCAACATCTTCATCCAAGCATCCTAAATTTCTCAATAATGAATACAGATCTCCCCCATTCAAGTACTCCATCACAAGATACAGATTCTCACGACAAGTAAAAGAATAGAAAAAACGAACCTAAAAAAAGAAACAAGCTCCAGTTAGAATGAGGATAATTAGATATTACAATAAGAAAAAAGCTTTGCTTGCTAGACCTGCTCACCACAAAAGGATTGCGAACCGAAATTAAGATGTCACGCTCTGCCAAAATACTCTCAACAGCATTCTTACGGATCATATCTGCCTTTTTAAGAACCTGTAGGAAGTGGAAATGTTATAAATGTACATACTCATCAATATTTAAAATCTCCATACTGTTAATAAATGACAGTGCACATCCAACATGTAAGAAGACCATTACAAAGGGTAAAGAAGAGAATGCAACAAAATAATCACATAGAATAATTGAAAAAGAAATTGTTACTAATAAAAAGAATAAAGGAATGAAGTCAACAAAAAAATAATAATTTTTAAGAAAGCAAAATCAGCAAAAAGAATACCCAACTACAAAAATTCCAAATTCTTTATAGATACCTTTATAGCAAAAAGATCACCAGTTGTTCTCTTCTTTGCCAAGAAAACTCGGCCAAATGCCCCACGGCTTATTGGTTTTATTATTTCAAAGTCATCTATAGAGGTGCGGTCCTTGGTAGAGTGAATAGGACTCGTTCTCAAGCTGCGAATAACATCATCTTCTAAAGGGGAATCTTCATCTATGGTTGTACTTGTTATATCAATCTTCTCATCATCAACTAACTCACAAAGCTGCAAGTATTTCTCCCTAAAGCATTGCAAGTGCCATTAGAAGAAAAAAAGGCTTTGCAGTAAGAGAAAGCCAAATGCCATAATAATATAAAATGCTAAAAAAAGATCTTCTGAAACAAGTCTCAACCAAAAACAGCAGAAAAGATTCTACTACCCTGGTATTAAATTAATGTGCATGCAAATAAAAATTCAAAAATAGTTTTATCACGGCAAGTTTTATCCACCTAAATCTCAAGCAAGTTATGCAGCTAAAGCCTTACCTAAGCAATTTCTCTATCCGTGTTCCAAATGTCTCCACCGTAAGCGCATCCAACTTCCTATGTTCAACTACAACTTTTAAGTCTTCAAGACAGGAGACCAGATACTGTGTGGATTGATCATCATCTATGGGTGTATTTGCCACACACCGAGCAATATCCGCAAGTTCATTCATCTGCATAATACAATTTTCAGTAACTCTAAGACCATTTATAATGAAATTCAATCACATGCACACCAATACAACATTCAGACAATTTCGGGTTGCACAACTTCTAGGTATTATTTTGGATTACATTTTGCATAACCAACCTTGCATGCTTACTGTTTCTTCACCATCTTTGCAGTTTTACATAACAAGAACCATACTCAAAACATATTAGTCATTTCTTATATAGTGCAATGAGGCAGTTCAGTTTTCATTTTTACCCTACACCAACCTACAGCAAACTAGAGAAAAGATATGAAGAAAACCAATGGCAATATGCAATAGAAGAAGGCTAGAAATCATATCCAAAGAAAAGAGAAGAGATCAGACTTCTCACAGCAAAGTTCTGCTGTATTACTTTATCAGGGAATCCAAAAATGAGAAGAGCTCCATTGCATTGATCTTTATAGACAACTAAAGAAAGAAAAGAGCCCCACTTAATCCTTAGATTTTTTAACATGCTTTGTTCCACAATCATTACATTGATCTTTGAAGTTTTTCTCTGTCCCATAATATTTTTTTTACTTCCCATTGTAGAAATTCTTTTTGTTTGATTGGCAATTGGTAACACATAAAAATTTTATTAAAGATTGTTGGAAATATAAAATACAATAGAAGAAAGGGAAGAAAGAGAAACAAAGACTTGCCCTTAGTCAAAGACATCACAGATGAATATATCATAAGGGATTGGCATATACTGAGCACTTCATCTTCAGGAAGAAATCTCCCAAGAATGGAATGATCTCCAGTTCTCCACCACGCCAAGAAATCTCTTAAAATTAAATTTTGATTGCTGTAGTCTAGGCAATCTTGGAATTTCAGGCATTGGAGGAGTGGTGGTCTTGCTAAGACCACCAACTATGGAGACATTGAATGCTGTTGAGGCAGAGATAGAGAGATGATAGCAGGTATTTGATTCAGACTGAGAGAAGCATGGCCAGTGGTGATCTTGCCTCTTCTTCTTCAGCCACTCCTCCTAGTGCAGCTGCTCATTTAGGTAGCACTACCAATTTAGCTTCCGTTACAAGTAATTCTAATATCTCTTGGATTGCTAATTCTGGAGCATCTAATTATATGATTAGCATCTCCTCCTTATTTCATTCTTATCAGTTGTGTTCAGGTAGGAATAAGGTGTCTATAGCAAATGGGTCCCTTGCACCTGTATTTGGTGAGGAGGGTATTAGGTAGAAACTCATTTTTTCCAAGTAATACAAGAAGCAGTTTTCCTTTTGATATTGAGCATATTGATGTGTGGGGACCATATCAAATTCCTTGCATGGGTGGTTATCAATATTTCTTGCATTTTGTTGATGACTTCATTCATTATTCTTGGTTGTATCTTATGCACTCTCGTAATGAAGTACGTTTGTTAGTTATACAATTTCATCATACAAGTACCCAGTTTTCCAAATAAATCTAAGTATATCACTCAGATAATGCCAAGGAATACTTTGAAAAGGGCTGGAAAAAGGAGAAAGGCCTGGTCTGTAAGCTTGATCTTGAGAAAGCCTATGATTTGGTGGACTAGGAGTTTCTCTAGAAGTTTTGAGGCGTAGAGGCTTTGGGGCGAGGTGGTGTAAATGGATAAAGGGATGTATTTCCTCTTATCATTATTCCATTTTGGTTAATGGGGTAACTAGGGACTTTTTCCTGGCTAAGAGGGGTCTTAGACAAGGGACATCCCCTTTCCCCCTTCCTATTCACCCTAGTAGCTGATGTCTTAAGTGTTCTAATTGCTAGGGCTGATTCTACTAACTTGATCAGAGGTTGGAGAATTAGGAGGGATGCAGTGGTGGTTAATCATCTTCAGTTTGCAGATGACATTATTGTTTTTTGTGGGGGGGAACAAGAGGAGTTAATCAATTTGAAGAGGTTGGTAAATCAGTTTGAAAAGGCCTCTAATCTCAAATTAAGTGGGGAAAGAGTTGTATGGTAGGGGTAAATAAATCGAAAAAAGAGGTAGGAGTCCTTGCTAGAGTGTTGGGATGTGAAGCTGGTGATTGGCCGTTAGAGTATCTAGGACTACCTTTAGGAGGGAACCCAAAGTCAGAAAGCTTCTGGTACCCAGTCTTGGAAAGATTCTCACAGAGGTTAGCAGGATGGAAGAGAAATTACATCTTTCTAGGAGGAAGAATTACCCTAATAAAATCAACTTTGCTACCAATTTACTTCCTTTCTATTTTCAAGATCCCCACTAGTGTGGCCTTTAAACTGGAGAAATTAATGAGGGATTTCTTATGGGAACCAAGGGATACAAAGAAAGACCACTTGGTGACGTGGGAGGTGGTCTCTAGAAGTAGAGAGAGTGGAGGGTTGGGTATAGGAAACATAAAGCTAAGGAATACAGCCTTGTTGGGGATATGGTTATGGAGACTACCTCTGGAACAGGACAACTTGTGGCACAAAGCGATAGTGAGTATACACAAGGTGGCAGAAAACAGGTGGGATGCTGGTCTTGACCCTAGGGCATCCCGGTCATCTCCTTGGAAAGCTATCCATGGTGTTTTGCCATCCTTTCTTCTGTTTATCAGACTTGATGCTTGTGCAGGGAATAAAGTTCATTTCTGGGAAGATGTCTGGTTTGGGGATGTCTCCCTCAAAGACAGATTCCCATCCATCTACTCCCTTTCATGGAATAAAGAAAAAACCATTTCCTCTGTCTATCTGAATGGTAACTCTTGGGATTTGGGAATGAGGAGGGGGTTGAGGGAGTCTGAAATGGGTATGGTTGATGATCTGATTGCACTTCTTAATACTCTGTTCCTTGACCAGTCTTGCTTGGATAGTAGAATTTGGTCAGACTCTCCTTCTGGGTTTTTCACTAGTGCTTCTTTCTACAATGCTCTTCTCCATTCATCTAACATGGCAGGAACCTTTCCAACAAAGGAGGTTTGGTGTAACCTTGTACCCCCAAAAATAAGGACCTTTTGCTAGGAGGTGGTACTCCAGAAAATCAACACCTAGATATGCTGCAAAAAAGAAGGCCAAACTACTGCCTTTCACCCCACGTGTGTAGCCTCTGCTTGGCCTGTGGTGAGACCATTACACACTTATTTATATCCTATCCTTTCGTATCCTTTGTTTGTGTTGAGTGAGCCGACTTGTGTTTAGTTTATTTCCTTTTAAATTAAGATGTTGGGCCTTCGGCCCATTAGTTTTTATTTTTTAAAGAGCTGTAATTACTTAGGTTGAGTTGCCGCCCTACTAAGGGCATCTTTGTAATATCTCATACTTAAGTTAATTATAAATAGAATGAGGGGCTGGCGGCTAGGGTTAAGTCAATCTATCCTAGTCGACCTTCTTCTCTTTTCTTCCCTTTCCTCTGTCTCTTGCTGAAATCCCCAACTTTCTACTCTTCCTTCACAAGAAGCTTGGCCGAAATCAGCACATAAGGTTTTCAATTGTTTGGAATTGGTTTTCCTCTCTCTTTGGATGCAGATGGACCCCTCCTTCAGATGTAGTAAGTCTCTTTGATCCAAACTTCTTTAAACCTCCAAAGAAGAAGGGGAGAGCAATGCGGAGAGGAATAAGAGAAGCTGTTTTGTGGTCAATCTAGCAAGAAAGAAACAATAGGATCTTCCAGGGTTCTGAAAGATTTAAGGAGCAAATCATTGATTGCATATCTACCAAGGTCATTCATTGGCTTAAAGCATATCCTTTATCTAAAGATTATTCAATTGATGATTTGTTTAGAGGATGGTACACTGTGGCAAACTCTTTTCATCGAGGTCTGTGATAAAGGAGCAATGGATCCCTCCTGCACATCAATGGGTGAAGTTGAACTTCGATGGGAGCTCCTTAGGCAACCCGGGTCCCTCTGGGGTGGGAGGAGCCTTCAGAGACAGAGAGGGCAGACTGGTTGCACTGTATTCAGGTCCGATAGGTGATGGAGACTCTTTGAGAGCAGAGATTATGGCCTTGCTACAAGGTCTAAGGCTGGCAAAACAATGAGGCGTACACAAGATTGAGGTAGAAGGGGACTCTAAACTATTAATTGGGTGGTTGCAGTAACTTGGGGGCTTGGGTACATCGACAATTCATGAGGGAAATAAATTGCTTAGAAAGGGAGGTTGGGGCATTGTTCAAGTGGACAAGGAAGTCAGCAAATGGACTAACTGACACCCTTACAAAGCAAGGAACTTTCAGGGAGAACTTGTCTTCGGCTGTTCTGTAATCAGAAAGCATTTTTCTTGGGGTAAACACCCTTAACTGGGTGGCGACAATGTATTCTCTTAATCTGTCTAATGAAAGTTACCATTTCCGATCAAAAAAAATACTTTGAAAAGAACGTTGCTTCTTATCTCTTAAACCACGGAACTATTTACCAAAGTTCTTGTGCTTACACTCCATAGAAAAATGGGGTAGCAAACAGGAAAAATCAGCACATTTAGGAAGTTTCAAGGGGTATTATGCTCAATTCTCATGTTCCTATTCAGTACTGTGGGGATGCAATCCGTATGGCTGCATTTGTAATTAATTGTGCCCCTTCTTGAGTTTTGAAGTATAAGACTCCCTTCGATTTGTTATATTCCAATGATGATCTCTTTCCTGCACATCTTCATGTGTTTATATGCACATTCTTTGTTCATATCCTTGGTACCCTCAAGTCAAAATTTGATCCTAAGAATGTAAAATACATCTTCTTGAGATATGCACAAAATCAAAAAAGGAACTGCTGCTATGATCCTACTTCTAGGAAGAGGCATGTGTCCATGGATATTACTTTCTTTGAATCTATTCCTTTTTATTTCCAAGGGGGGGGGGGGGGGGGGGGGGAGAGTGACCTTGGGTCTTTTAATATACCTATTCCTATTTCTACTTCTATCCCAGAGAGTATTGTTGTTCCTGAGAAGTAGTTACAGGTTCACCAAAGGAGGGATTGCTTGCCTCCCATCCCATCATGGCCTCTTCATATTACCTCTAAGATTGTTGATCCAGAAATAGACACTACTGCTCCTCCAGCTGAA